TCCCACAATGTCTAAAGTCACGGCTCTGCATAATGTATCATCTCACCTTGTGTCTCTCAGGTGCCATTAGGTGAATTCCACAATAGAATTAACCACAACCCAGCATCACATGACCCACTAAGCATCGGGAGAGAGTATACCACTTGGAAAAAAGGGAAACTCACTGATATAAGCAAATGCCACTTTTGTTGGAATTCCTGAGATATATTAGCATAATCCCTCTTGAAAAGACAACACTGCGTGACAAGTACACCTTACCCACACACACACACAGAATATGTTTAACACAAGAAAAGGGAACAAACATGAAAATTCTGCTCTGAGTTGTGGGCAATCATCCGTTTGCAAATCCATAACCCAAATAGGCATACAATAAATTAAACCATAACATCCATTGCATAGTATCCTACAAACAAGAACCCTGAAGAATATTAAATTATGAACAAAGGTCTCACAAATGGGTAAAAAAATATATATATCACAATCAACATAATGGTAAAAACAACCCTTGTGGTCCGATTTAGATTTACCCCACCCCTATCAAAAAATACAAACCCAAATCACTTCACTGATCATGGGAATACAAATCCAAAATTGTACTTTCAAATAATAAAAAGATGGCAAAAAGAAAAGCCAAACATTTATATATTTCATAAGCGTCTATTCCGTTGCGCTTAACGCATAACAAGGGAAACGATTAAATGCAACATAATAAAATATCGCAACCCTCTACCCATTAATACCCCAAAGCACTTAAGGGTGCATATTCCCTTTTACAAGCTTCAAGTAATAAACTTAACACAACTGGAATCAAAATGAGACCAGTAATATCCATACGATAGTACACTCACAGCAATGCTGTTTAAATCCTCTCTCTTATTGCAGCATCACTCATACAGCACTACGGTGCTCCCATAGTGTAGAAGAAGACGGACTTGCACACTAACAATCCAATAGTGACAGCGTGGTTGTTTGGGCAAGCACTGTCATCTCTCGTTCCGTATTTATACAAATACACAAAAGAAAAAAAACACTCCACTCCTTTGGCATCACATGGAGAACACTGTGTGGACCAGAAAGAACTAATCAGAGCACACTAATGTGGGTATATCCCTGGGAACACATGAACAAGACTAGACAGACAAGAGAATACCCAACACACTACTCACACTACAAAAACAACCAACAAAGAAAAGGAGAAAAAAAAAGAGAAAACACATTTGACATAGATATATTCCATCATGGTCATACCCTAACATTGGAGCAGAATACAGCAATTCATCTTACAGCCCACAAGGGCAAGCAGAGTCATCCAGTGAATACTCAAAAAGAAAAAACAATGATTATCCTCCATACTTTCAACATATTCTCACCACCCCGAGAGCCCCCACCAAAAAAAATTCAATTTTTCCAACTTTATACGTTCCCGTCCAAAAAAAAACTTTACAAGAATACTTTTTACCAAAAATATGAGAAACAAACCGCAGTGGGTCTGTACATCCTCAAAGGATACCAGCAAAATAAAAAATGTTTTTCCATCAAGTTAAAGAGCAATAAATTTAAAACAAAAAGTCTTTCTTTCGAGATACAGAGGTCCCGCGCAAGATTACCACTCACAAGTCCACAAGGACAGAGATACACATGTAACGAAACTGACTATGTGAGATGGGTATTCTATTACAGAACTACTCTTATCATCCTTATTATCGTTTTACAAACATGTAGAGTGAAATGCAAGCAACCTCTCTCTCTGTAGCTCACCACCTCGTAACGATGACCTTTCACACACACAGAGAGAAAGAGAATAGCAAAAACAAAAAAAGTAGCAAAATTTTTAAAAAAAATTGTATTTATCAAATACGAGGATCAAAATGATATCAGCAGAGCCGAAACAAGGAGAACAAGTAGTACAAGTGGTGAGTAAACCTTTGTAGCCTTGCTGTTATCTTTACGACGATTAGATGCCTTTTTACTGTTCTTGTTAGTATCTTCCTGTTTAACGGATCCCTGGGTTGTTGTAGATTCAGTACTGCTCCTTGTGGTTTTACCATTTTTATTTACTGTAGCAGTTGGTGTTGTGGAACTTCTTTGTCTGTTTGCATCTGCAGTAGTGGTAGTGCTTGTGGTTTGCTGAGCATTATTAACTGTTGATGTTTGGGGACCTTGGCTCCTCTGAACTGATGAATGCGGAGGGTCTTCAATAGTGGGATTAGTTGGCGTGCTGCTTACCCAAATAGCTTTTATTTCTAGTGGGGTATTTTCATTTGCTTGCGAAGTGAGACGACTGCTTCCATCGGACTTCACAGTGCACACTTCATCGTATATGGGACACTTTATCCTTCCACCTGCGTACATGGGGTAGTCAGTCTTATTTGGCATAATAAATTCATTTCCCCAACAATTGTGCCAAGGACCGTCCACTGTAAGCTGTACCCTAAACACACCATTATCACTGCAATTCACTGCGGCGCACATACCACGTTTCATCTTTTTTTCTTCATCGATTGTAAGGTTCGGATAATCAACATCCAAACACCAAGAATCATTTCTGAAGAGTCCCACATCTCTATCTCGTACATCTCCTTCCGAGGTACAGAAAAAACTCACATCTGCCACGAGAATAGGACAGATGGATTCCACTTCCTTTGTCGTGGGTGCAACACTATTGATCACACCCAAACGATCAGATGAACAGGATTTTTCCAGGGCCTCAATGCAGTAACCATTAGGAGCCAAAACTCTTTTTGTGTTCTCAATAGTAACGTTACCAAAGTTGCAACCTCCCATGTATCCCCAACTCATCGGTTCAGCCATGCTGAAATTTCCCCTGTAATATTGCATATCATGAAATGCTGCAATTGTTAGTGCAGTGTAGTAACCAACACTCTCAATATTTCCAGCTGCGGAAACCATACTCATCAACTCATCCTTCATGTTGCGTCGATTCCAATGAGATGTTGTATTCCCTTCAGCTGTATGTTCCAACTCAACTTCTTTTAGGCTGTTACACTTGTAATGTTCCTTTGCCACTTCCAGTACTTTTGCGGAGTCAATCACCGCACGGTTGTCATGGTAATTGCTACTATGCCTCGTCATTCCACGCCCCTTCATCCTTTCGTAGTCAAAACCAAGAGCATGTGCGAGTTTATGTGCAGCCAAACGAACATTAACTCGTGTAGAATCTGCATGCAGTGGATGAATATTCATGGCACCAACAATTGGACGTTTAGTTTGATCAACAGCACATGTTACAGCCCAAGATGAGTGGTTAGTATTTTTACTTGGACCAGCAGCCACATACAATAAAAAATCAGCATCCTGCACACCATGAGATGCGTGGTCGCCTGGACTTGTGAAGTGAGAACAAACAGAAGGTTTGCTGAACTTTGGTACTTGCAAAGGTGTTTTCAACCGCTGAACGAGGAGACGATCAGTGTGTAATTTGATAGCCTTGGGGAGAATTTCATTTTTGATCGCTTCCTCTTTCCCTCGCAGCATAATATCATGAAAATTACAATTTACCTCCTCTCCATCCAAAAAATCCTTACGTCGCTCACCATAGTTTACACAGTACTTTTTTTTGTTCAAATCTTCGGTTGACACACGAATGCGGAGTGCTTCCCAACCCTCATTACTGTTACTATCTTCAGATGTCGCCACGGTGTACGCCTGCCAAGCGCCTTCTCCTTTCTTCGGTAATTCTCTCACCACAACGACAGGAGGACTGTTCTTCTTTTTGATTTCATCGTAATTACAGGCGTATGCAGGTCCGGCCATAGCACCGCAGATGAACAGTAATAGCACCACTTGGAGGAGTGGATGCCTCATTGTGTGAATAGCAAAAATGTAAACTTGATGGAAAAACAATTATTACGACTTGTGTATAGTATAATGGCGAAAAAAAAAGGAAAAAAAAAACATAAAACAATAAAAAAGAGAGAGACAAAGCATACAAGACATCACACAGTAGAAAGAATGACATTCATACAACAATACAGCAGAGATATTGCTTAACATAACCCCAAACAAACACTTACATAGTCCCCCTGTGATACTATTATCATTGGTGTTTTACGTACAGCATTGTATGGGTTCAATAAGTGAACATTCCATCTTTTTGCTTCAGTGTCATTGTTTTCCCCCAATTACACCAACAACAGCATTACCAAGAAAAAGAAAGAATAAAAGCAATGAAGCAAACAAACTGGGAGAGGTACAAAATACTCTTAGGTTCCATTAGAGACCATTCTCAAATGACCTGGGCGTACCTGTGGAAAAGAGGAGACTGAAGTATAGTCAATTATCAAGAAATATCTAAAGTGAATATTTGAAATACAGAGAAACCCACAAACATAGCCACATCACTATTAATGCTTATAAATGTAACGAACCCTTTACAAATGCAGTTAAATGAGACCAGTAATATCCATACGATAGTAAACCCACAGCTGTAATTAGACGTCAATGGATGAGCGGATGCACTGTTAAAGCATACGCAACAAATAGCAAAATAAAATACGGAATGCCAACAGAAATATACATATTATATTAGATCCAACAGAGAATTAAACACATGTATACATCGATAGTAATACTCTCAGAAACACCAATAACAACATCACCACAACAAATGCAATATCAAAGGCTACACACATTAACAAGAGCAGCGGCACCTACTGCAGTCAAATCCAATCATAACAGCTAAAGGATGTGAACAGTGGTAATGTGTGACATAATGTCATTCTCAGTGTGTCTATCACATTTGAATCCTTTAGAGACTTGGGGAAAAACAACGAGAAACACAAAAAAGAAAAAAAGCAATACATATAATAAACAATACAAGAAATACATCATCAGCACTGAAGTAACCACAGAAAAACATAAACACATAAACCTTCTTCCACAGAACATTTTAATTCAATAAAAAAGAAACCCATTAAAAAAAAATCCCCAATGATAAGGAGCCCAAGTTTATGTTGATTCTTCATCCGTCACTGTCATCGTTCTCTCAGGATATATATATATGTATACTCTCATGTATATGATAACGAACAGTGGGATTCTGCAAAATGTATATTTGATAATTATTCATTTTTCAGAAAATGAGTATAAAATCATAGCAAAAAAAAAATCATAAGCAATTAAAAGAAAATTTCCAATTGAGCGAAGAACGCTGAAAACAGAAAAAAGAACGGTCAATGTATTGCGGTTTATGGGATTTGATTCAAAGGACCGTATTTAGCAAAACCGTTTATTCTTCTGAATATGAATGGATCTCTCATGGAACCATCACAAAACCAACAACACACACAAGAAGTGCAAGAGGGGCCATGTAGGAGACCATGATGCTGCTGTCAGGACCCATCACATTCATTACATTTGTATGATTTAGTGTTTCTTTCATTTGGTCCTCATTTAAGTTTGTCCCGTTCAAAACAGTGTTATTTGCTGTGTGAGTAGACGGTTCATTTGCACCATTAATAGTGTTGGTGGACTGCATTGTGTTGCCATTGCTGTTGGGATTAGATGTGGATGGAGCAGTAGCAACATCATCAGCATTATCACGGGGCTTTTTCTGCTCAGATTCTTTTTCCCGAGCATCACTTTGTACTTTGATGGAATCTTCTGATGCTGTAGTACTGGAGTTGGATGAATGAACTTTATCATTAGGACCTGCTGGAGAAGAATTTTTCTCTTGCTCTCCAGTTGGTGATTTCAATTCGGGTGATGTTTGGATTTCATTTTGTTTATCGTTGTTTTCTGCTGGTGGATCTACAGGCTGTTGCAATGCTCCATCTGCAGGGGTCTTTGCAGGGACAAGAGGGTCAGCAGGGGTTGGGAGTGGGGCGGCAGGAGTAGGAGGTGGTGGTGTGGTGTGAACACGCTCAGGTACAGTAACGGGGTGCTTTTCATTGCTGATGCCACCAGAACCAACAGCGCTGTTGTTGTTAGTGTTCGTGCCACCAGTTCCAATTCCACCATCTGAACTCGCAGTGGACACACCGGTGTTGTGAACTCTCACGTTCCCCAAGCTGTTGTGGGAAGCATCTCTGTGCTTAACGGGCTCCTGACCTTTTGGAGCTTCGTGTTTATCCGGATGCTCGCTTTCCGGAGCTTCTTTCACTATGTCAGATTCATGGAGTTCCACGTGCGATTCGTCTTCTTCAGGAGAAACTGATGAAACTGATGGCGCGTGGGTTGGCTTCTGACCTTTTTCTGGCTTTGCTTCTTTTTCCCCATCATTCAGAACGATATAGTACCCGTCACTTTCTTCTTTGTCACTGTTAAGCTTGATTACTGGGGAATTGGTCTCCGGCCACCCTGTGCACACTTCTTCGTATTTAGGGCACACAATAGTTCCCTCACTGAACTCTGTACCAGCCACATCAGCAATATTTATAGACCCGCCATCCTCTGGGCACTTATGCCACCGCTCCTCCTTATTGCCAACATGCCCTTTAAGCTGTACACTCACCTTCTTGTCATTATCACACCTCACTTTTGCACAAATGCCTTGAA